ATTGGTCTCAATAGAACACACAGTTCCTGAGTATTGTGTGGAATCTGTCCGCAAAGTGCGTTAGTTCCTAAAAAATTTAAAATCAAACAACTAGGCATGAGATAAGGATCTAGGAGGGATCGATTGTATGCAAAATATTCGACAAATCAAACAAAAAGCCGGTTTGTCAATGGATACTATCTTTAACTGACTGACCCCTATTTTCGAAAAAAAGAAACCCCCAGATTTGGCTTATTTTCCTCCCGAAATAGCCCGTCTTCTTTGTCTAAAATACCGTCTTATCCTCAAACTGGAGGCTTTTCAGCCTATTTGCTTAAGCAGGAAACGAGCTTAACCACTGCATTTGACGGCCCAAGTTTCAAGCATTTCCATAATTACTTAGCATTTCCGAACTGAAATAATTGCTTCTGTAACTGTTAATGCCCGTTTTTTAAAAAAAATTTGCTTTTTCTAGCTAAATTTTACGACTTTAGCTCAATTTCTCGAAGTTCTCAGCAACTTGGGTATTTTTTTTACCCTCAGCAAGGAGGATAGAGACGCGCATTTTTCACAGTTTTTCGTCATTTTCGTGTTTATTTTATGGCATTGCATGAAATAAAAGCCTTTTGCGTAAATATCAAAAAATCCTACCAATGAAATGTTATATCACTTTTGTAAAAAACTTTCAGTCTTGGCTTTTGTTAAGGCTTTCAGTCTTGGTTTTTGTTGAGCAATAGCACTGCTTTCAGGTACTGGTGTTCATGATCACGGGGACGTTCGAGATGCCACAAAATCTGACCCCCGAACTGGCCAGAGAACTAATTGATATTGCTGTACATTTCAAACCTTTGAATCGTGATGCTTTGAGGAATACCCTTCATCGTGCCCTCTGCGAACTGTTGATACAGGTTTGACTGTCTATTATTGAAATTGCCAAGTACGGCCAGATTGCTTAAACAACCAGTGTAGAATTCATATGTTTCTGAAGTGCATGCAAGTGTCTGGCATTATCGCGGAAAACCCACGAAAAGCCAGCAAAGAAGAAGCCATCGTAAAGGTTATGAAGGCAGATAAAGGAAAGATGCATGTTGCCTTAAAAACAGATACCGGTAGGGCTAATACCGAACTTGCGCCGCAAGAACAAGAGCCGGTAGTGCAGTAGCACATCGTGTCCGGATGTGAAGAGGAGTGGTTTGATTCCTTCCTGGTCTCTACGCTTTGGTAAAAGACGGCTTCGTCCGCGACAAGTTGTTCCGTATTTTGCAGAACGGGCTTCCACCACAACAGACTTAGCTGTATGATGCATATGTCCGCCTTTCTACTGGGAACTACCATTATTTTTTCATAAAATGCCCAACTGAGTGGCAGCTCTGAATTGATTTTATTAATCGTTAATTTTTTTTTTTGAATTTTTGGATGGAACTCCTATGACATGTGATGAGTTTCCTAAGTCTTTGGTAGAGAGCTCTGTTTCAGGATTTTTCAAGTCTGGATAAAATTGTGCGTTTTCTTGTCTTTTCGCACGAAATGAATCTCTCGCAGCTCAAATTAATGTGCATGTCAATCATTGTCTATGAGCACTACAGGCGATTTAAACAGGAATACAATGAAGAGGCAAGTTTTTCTTAAGACTTTCTAGGACAAAACACAATTCCAAATACGAGAAGACTTCGGAAGGCTGGATAGGATTCAGCATGCTGAATTTAATGTCCCGTTTTTTTATCATTTAAAATAAACTGGAGCGATCTTTAATCAGCTAATTCTTTTGGATTGTCTAGTGTTTTTCCCGGCTCTTCAGGCCTTATCCTGAGTTGCATGTTTGTATTTACCACTCTTCCTACCTGCCGTCTGCCGTCTATTTGTTCCTCGAATAGATCACTTACTGACACGAAAAGTCCTTCAATCATATCCCAACTCATCGGATTTCATCTCTGATTATACGCCATCGTCTTCCTTAACGTTTGTTCATCTACGTAGCTTCGTTAACAGACCGTAATTTGACTACTGCGACGTACTGGTGCATTTTTCAGACACCGAATACGGATCATCGTGCTCTGTATGAACGTTTACGACGGAGTGGCTTCTTGTTGACTGTATCACCTCTCTCAAGAATTGACTCAATCCGTCGGCAATCGCTGAAGTGCCGGCGAGTGTTCCGGTATGGACGAAAACCTGATCAGGATTTGAATAATATGCAAGAAAATCCGAGCGAAAATGTCTGGAATGATGTGGATTAATGCTTTTCAATTGACCCAGTATTACGAGAGTACCACATATAATGAATCAGTGTTATCAGTACAGAATTCAGCAAAATTTTTGCAGCTTTTCACTATAATAATTGATTGCTATGCAGAATCTGTGCCTTCAATCGTGCAGTTTTGGATCAAATTTTTCCAAAAAAAAACAACGTTTTTCGCTATGTTCTCAATATTTCTCAAATTTTTTTTGATCAAATTTTCCTAGGATTTTTTTCGATTTTTGGAACTGCACTGTTATGAAGATCGAAACTTTTTAAACTGGTACCATCAGTAGATCGTTGAAAGGCCTAAAACACATGTATAGCACAAGTATTTTACACGTCCCCACACTTATGCATAGCAAAATATACTCGTAACCGCTGGAGCACTGGAAGAGGATCATCAATTGAGGTGGAAAGATCCGTTTGAATGTTTTTGTGCAAAAAATACAGACATATTGAAGTAAAAACCGAAAAAAAGCAGCAAAATCAGCTATGTCGATGATCAGAAAAAGTAAAAGAAACAATTACTCAACAAATTACATAGAGGCCACATACTGGACCTCATTTAAATATTCGGGAGGTGTTAAACACTCAAAACTTGTAATATTCCATTAAATCAAGCAAACTGTGGATAATGATATCCCCGTTTACTCACTGATATCTTGGGGAGGGTGATAACAATTCAAAATTATCCTGTAATTGGGCGGGGGAGGGAACGGGGGAGGATGAAAACTCACCAGAATTTCTTAAATCCACTCAAACTATTTCATATTTCCTATGGGTTTCTTTCTTTAATATTTCTAATATAATGCTCCATAAGTTAATGGCTGCTGCTTAAATAGCGTCCGCAATTCTGCTCAACTCCGATAATTCGGTATTTGACTTCAATAAAGACTTGTAAGTTAAAATTGAGAGGATACGCCAACAGCTGTAGTGACTCCGGAATGCTGGGGGATTTAACACTACAAAATCTTTGCTGAACCGATACATTAATAGGCTTAATTTGCTAAATTTCATATTAAAATAACAGTTTTCGTTAGCACGTAGCACCCATTTGCCAAAGAATGGCTTTATCTCAAATCGTTTAGCATTTTGACGCTAAAATTTAACGCTTTTTGTCTCGCTCTTAACGCAATTTGGACTAATACTAGATCATTTTTGCATTTTCTGGGAAAGTACTATGTCCTTTGTCCGTACTTTACAGCATTTCGACTTTGCGTAAGGTGTAATTTGAGAGTTCCATCCCCACCAGAACAAGAAAAAGCATTGCACTCAACCGAATTCTACAGTCACCAGAATAACGTGGAACTTGAATGTTTCCGAGGAGCACCGAATTGGGAATTGAATATTGTGCCTGGAGGAATTCGGCACATTCGTTGTAACATCTCTCAAATGACAAAGAAATGGGATGGAAATCCAGGTTGTCCGTACCCGCCGGAGGTGCAGCTGTGCGTTGTGGAGAGAGAGAGAGAGCAAACACGATTCCCCGTTGTACGTGGACTGCTGTGAATGGCACTGGGAGGCTAAAATTGCCCCCTGTGCTATGCGGTTCCAGGCCGACCTGGCGTTCCATGCACCGAATTCGATCGCGGTGCCAGGTTGCGCATAGCAAAGTGCATCGTTGGCGGATTTTTCTCCGGATAGCAGGAGAGCACTCTTCTCCACAGCGCCCTTACTCGCCTATCTCCTAGTTCATTTTTGCTGCCCAGGACGACAAATCCCCCCTCCCAACACATCGCAACAATTCTTCCTCCTTATTTTTGCATCATTTTTTTAAAGATTTGCAATTTTTTAAGTCTTTTTTCATTAGCTCGCCATTCGTTCCTCGTGACTGATCTCGCTTGTTGTAAACTGCTTTATTGAGCGTGTAAATATTTCGCTGACTGAAACTGTATTCATTGCGATAATGAACGGCATATGTTAGAAAGACAAATTCACCAATTACTCGTTTCTAAGCAATCTTCGAAAGAGGAGCCATCAGCAGTCCTGGCAGTGGGTAGTTGCTGTTGGCATTTGCTATATTGCGAATAGTTTTGAATGTGAGTACCTCTACCTCGTATAATGAGTGAATAAGGGAAAATTTTTGGTATTTCTTTTTACAAGGTATAGGTTCAGTCTTAAATACTTTCAAATACACTTAGCAGTTAGCTGATATCTATTTCTTGAAGAGCATTTATAATTCTGCTTAGATCTAAAAGTAACTTATAATTAGATATTAAATACCGGCAAGCATGGCGCAGTGAATAAGCACTGTTGTTACTTAGTAAATCGAAGGTTCAACTCCGCCGCTGAGACAACCATTCCCTTAGTAATTTGTTCATTCGTTTCAATGGTAAATTGGTACTGGCATATCAGGATTGGAGTCGTCTCTCACTGAAATACCCTGCACCCGTTAGGATATGAAAGTACTAAATCTCATATGGGTTTCGGCAGCAACAAACGCGTCATCAGCTTGCTTATAAGCAACCGTCGAAAGAGGAAGTCATCGGTAGCATTGCCAGGGGATTTGTTACCACTCATGCTACTTCTCGAGTGCCTCTGCTTCGCACTAGAACTTCTGGTTTTTTGATTAAACCAGCACTGATGTCTTATTTACAGAAGAGAAAATGTGGATGTTGTCGGCGTAGCAGCATAAGCAGTGGCTAATCCTCAGGGTATTTTTGTGAAATGGCACCAGAATTAGCCAAAATCCACTCTGTTTCTACTGCTGCTATCTATCCATTCTGGACTAATTAGTATTATAGTACATTGTTTCAGTTCGCGGACTCCATCACGTAAACGTCCATTTTATTATTACGTTACTCATCTGCATAAACACGCGTACCTATGTCAAATCATTTGCGACACGCATTGGGCGGGCCCGAGCGATTGTGCGTTTTTGCAGTATCTCGTACCGTACTAAAACCGCTTGAAATCCCAGTAGTTAGAATTTGTGACGTACTGGTTCTTGAAGTTCACGAAGTTAACTGTGCA